AAGTGGATGGGGGGGCTTGGAGGGTTGGAGATGGGGGCCCTTCTGGGTAGTGAGTTGGGTAGGTGAGGCTCTGAAATGCTCTGATAGGGGTGTCTATGGGAGCTGTATTTACAGGCTAGAATAGTCCTGCCTGGGGTCACAGACGTACACAGTCTGCCACTCCCTGGGAAAGGGTGAGATTACCTAAGAAGGGGAAAACCCCAGGATCGGACCTGAGACTTAAGGGACAGTGTCAAAAAAACATGTTATCTTCCCCCACCTGCTATCTGTCTGGAGCCACATTTGCAAAAACATCAGGGCACAGGAGCGACAAACAAAATAAAGAAAATGAAGTTGGAGTCGGAGTCGGGAGAGATGGCTCCTGGGTAAAGTGCTCGCCCGCCCGTGCAAGCAGGAGGGCCTGAGTGGCGGCTCTGGCACCCAGGGCACGGCAGGATGTGAGCCAGAGCTGGGGAGACAGTGACAAGAGAATACTTGGGACTTGCTGGCTAGCCAGTCCTGCTCTGGGGCCAGCGAGAGACCCTGCCTCAAAAAAGTAAGTGGGAAAGTGAGTGAAGGTGTACACATACACGCACACACACACACACACACACACACACACGCACACGCACACGCACACGCACACGCACACGCACACACACACACACACACACACACACAGAGAGAGAGAGAGAGAGAGAGAGAGAGAGATCTTTTTCTCCAGGAGAAAAGATGGCCAGCTGCTCTGTGAGGCCCCACTTCAAATGTCCCGAAGACCTTAAGGAGTCCTGGGGCTTTTACCAAGGAAACTATGCCTGAAGCTTTGGAGAAGTGGGCAATCTATGTTCAGGAAGGACCTTCCTATGAGCCGTGGGCCTGGGACTAGGGTAAGGGCTCTGAGGTATCACCTAGAGAAGAAGTGGGGGTGGGGGTGGTCTCCAGGAGCCCTTGGTGACTTCAGCAATGACCTGTGAATGACTTTGCATCTCTCTTTCTTGCCACCAGGGGCCTGGCTCTAAAGCTTCATTTTCAGGACTGTGGTCAGCCCCACACGGAGGCTTCAGCTCTTTTAAAACTTATCTTTTTGATATCAGGAACAGCGCATGATCAGGCTTGACTAGGGGTAAGGGACTTGACCTAGAAGAAACAAAGCCCTAAGGACAAAGATGGGTGGTATGTCCTATTAAGGCCTGGGCCTGGGTGCCACATGGGCTGAGTGCCACAGACTGTAAGAAATGAAGAAGTGACCAGAAGGGCTTAGGAAAAAGTTTTTGTACACAAAACCCCACAGTGAGGCAGAACGGGCCTTTTACATTTTATATATGGGTTGGTGAATTCTACACAATCGATAAGTGATATATTGTAGGAGAATGTAAACACAAAGTCACATTGGGAAACCAAGGAGGGGGTACCTGGAACTGTGTGGCATTCTTATTTGGAAAGAAAGGCAGATGAAGAACAGATGCTGTTCCATGGACTCCTAATGTCCACGCTGTCCCAGGCTTCTCCCACGAGGCCCCCACCCCTGCCTACCAGCATCTGGTTAACCCAGTCTCAATCCCCTGGTCAGCTAGCTTCCCAGGAGGGTGATGAAACACCTGTGTTGTGGCTGTTTTCCTAGCCATCCAGGACAAGGACGATTCCCAAGTGGCGGTGCCCTGGATGCCATAGCTGAGCTCTGGAGCTGCCAGCCCCACAGACTTCTTGTGGGGGACATATTGTATTCCCCTAGGGTGTTTATGGGCTGGGTTATTTGTAGTTGGAAGCATTTGTAAGGACCCAGGAAGCTTCCAGGAAGAGAGTGTTAGACCTGATAGCCCTATCCCCCATCCCTGGCCCCATGAGAGGCCAGATACAGGTGAGCTTAGAGGTACAGACCCTGTCCCAAGTGAACTACATGTCACTGCCTGCCATACTCAGGTGTCTCTTTTAAAGTTCTCTCCTGCGCTCTCTGCTAGGTTGAGCACATGCAGAAATGCGGTCACTAGTGAGCATTGGGCTGTATTCTTCCCTGAGTCCTTATTTCTCAGATTGAAACTTTTGACTGAGCCTAGATCCTTATGCATCCAGATTTCAGGCCCTTTCAGTTCCAGACAGCGCTGATCCCAGTGACCAAAGGACACCTTCATGTGGAGAATAACAAAAAGAAAATGCTGTGTAAACGCCACCACCCACGTTCGTTCCCTTGCCTGACACAGCTCCCTGTCAGGGTGTGCATGTGGGGGTGGCTTGGGAGGCAGCAATAATGACACTCCCAGAAGGCCACCAGCCACCAGTTTCTGTTCAATCAGCGTTCCCCTGACATATTGCTTACCAAAGCCACTCCTGGCCAGAGCTCCACCAGCGCATCTGACGGGGCCACCGCACCTGCTGTTTGCCAACAATGGAACTGGACGGAGCCGCTGTCTCCAGAGGCCCCACGACAAGGTCACTAACGCCTCTCACTTGAGAGGCTCTGTGCATGGGGCCCAGTGGGACCAGAAGAGTCTGAGTCTTTCCCCACAACCCCAGGAACTTGGTGTTTGGGAAGGAGGGTTGTGAAACACCACTGCCCCCATCCACTTGGAAACCCCTGCCAATGAAGGCGACCTTGAAATAGGAGCAGAACGGCTTCTGGAGAGCTGCTTTCTGTCAGACATCTGTGCACAGGGATGGCTCTCAGATGGCTCCTGTATCTAAGGACGTTTGTCCTGGCATCTGTGATCAGGAAATCGAGGGTAGAGCAGAGAGACAGGATCCTTCTCTGCTGAATACCCTGAACATCCCTTCCACTGAGGGCTGAGGACAGTCTCCCCTTTCTTTCCTTCTCTCTCTGTCTCTGTCTCTCTTTTATTCTTCTAAAAATATTTTATTTTTTTATTTTTATTGTATTGTAATTTTGCCTACATATATGTCTGCGCACCATGTGCATGCAGTGCCCATAAAGGCCAGAAGAGGGCACTGGATCCTGGAACTGGAGTTACGGATGGTTGCAAGCCATCATGTTGGAGCTGGGAATTGAACCTGTATCCTTTGGAAGAGCTGCAAGTGTTCTTAAGTGGGGAGCCATCTCTCCAGCTCCCACATTCTCCTTTGCTAATGTTCCTTAAGATGAATGGCCAGGAAGGGTCCCTATCTCTTTTGGTACTTTGAATCATTCAGATTTTAAAGGGTTGGGTTTGGAGGATGAGATCTGAGCCTGAGTTGTCCTCTTCCCATCCCTCCCCACACCAGGCTGTTCTGGATCACCATGCTGCTCCATTGCCTCCAGGGACCAGGCTGCTTACAGCCACAGCAATGAGCAGGTGAGGTTCAGGACAGGGAGGGGTGGGGACTGGGTCAAGTGAGAGAGAGAAGCCGGAAGCTCTTCCAAGCTCAAACAAAAACGATGGCCCACAACCATGCAATGGCTGAATCTGCCCTGCTGGCTTTTAGTCCTTGGCTTTGGTATTGAGAGTGAATGAATAAATAGACCCAAGGGACTAGAAGCATTGGGGATTTTGTATCCTATCATTTAGCCAATTAACTAATTTAGTTATAGACAGGGTCTCACCCAGACTGGTCTCAAATGTGCGGCTTTTTGATCCTCCTGCCTCAACCTCTGAAGTGCTGGGGATGGTAGACCAGCTCTCCACTAACTCAACTGTGTGAGCACACATACACACAGACACACATGCACACATGCAGAGAGAGAGAGAGAGAGAGAGAGAGAGAGAGAGAGAGAGAGGATAAGCAGTCCGTTGGGACATGTCAATAACCCATGTTCTCCACCAAAGGGATTAAAATTGGAAGTCTGCATGCCTGATTCAGCCGTAGCATCTTGCAGGGCCTCGTTGTGAGGACTACCAGCTGGGCCAGGCTGGTGAAGGATTTCCACTGGCCCTGCTTAGGGGTCCACCTCATCACTGGCTTCTCAGCTCCAGCCTCCCCTTTAGGTAGGCAGTAGTAGATAGGATCTGGCAAATCTCTCACTTTTCACTTTATTTATTTTGGGGGACAGTGATATTTGATTTATGGTGAAATGGAGAGATGTTAGCTTCTTCGTGGCAGCGATTTAAGGTATTCTTCAATTTTTAAAGTAAAATATTAAGTATCACATAAGGAAACAGTGATAGGTGGTAGAAACAGAACGTGGCAGGCGGTAGAAAAAATAAAATTGATAATGACCATCCACGTGGTCGGGAAATGAGGGGGAGGGGATGAGACCCCTGAAGTAGGTGAAGCTACTGGATGAATTTCCTTTATCTTGCCTGGAGAATCACAGAAAAATTCAGTCTCCAGCAAGGCAGCTAGTCTAGCCCAATTCAAGCCTGCCTGGTCCCCCTCATCTTCCGATTCAGTCTACGCTGCTTCTCACTCAGTCTTCGAGGATACCCCACTGTAGAATCATCTCCTTCTGCCACACTGGGATTCCAGCGCCAACTTTGGGACAAGCTGGGTCATCAGAGATCACAAGAACCATGCCTTCAGGGTACATGTGTCGGGAGGGGACCTGCCGCAAATTGACAGATAAGTAGCCGTTTAATAATTGTGGCTCGGCAGGATTGTGGGCTCAAATGCAGCCACACCTCCCAATTCCTCCAGAAAAGTTAGAAATACAATTCTAAAAACTGAACGTCACACTTTTATCTTTCTATCCCTTTTTCTTTTGAGGTTTGTCTGTTTTAAGAGAAGATCTCACTCTGTGGACCAGGCTGGCCTCAAAGTCATGGCAAGCCTCCTGTCTCAGCCTTCCTAGTGCTGGAAGTACACACATAAGCTGCTATGCCCAATAATCTCATCATTTTTCAGTGTTGACAATAAGAATCGACAACATCTGAAGGCTAGCCCAGCCTCAGGTGTTCTCAGGAGACAACGAATCTTCTGAGTGGACACAGTTGTCATGCTGCAATACCCAGCGCCCTCCCACCCATTTCCCAGGAATGACGGACAAAACCAAGGATATGAAATCACGGTTAGAGTCTGGCAGTGGTGGCACACACCTTTAATCCCAGCACTCAGGAGGCAGAGGCAGGTGGATCTCTATGTGTTCGAGGCCAGCCTGGTCTACAAAGTTCCAGGACAGCCAGAGCTAAACAGTGAAACCCTGTCTTGAAAAACACAATTAGAGCCAGTTGTACAAATCATGTATTTCCCCATGAGACGGGCCCGCCTGTTCATAAGGAGTCATCTCCAGGTCTTCTGGCCAAGGCCCTGCCACACAGGCCTGGGACAGGGTGAATGGAAGATGGAAGGGACAGGTGTCCACTCTGGGAGAGCAAAGCAAAAACTGGACATAACATTGCATAGATGTTCCAATAGAAGGGAGCTTGAGGGAAATACTCGGGAAGACCTGGGGGGTGGGGGTGGGGGGAATCACTGTGTTCAGGGACAGCAGGCTTGGCAGGACAATGACTCCAGGAAATGGGGGGACCAGGACCCTGCTGGGGAGTATGGATTCCTGTTGGCATCTGGAACTCACAGAGAACTGGCCGGGATGTTTGCCCTTGCATGCTCACTTTGAAAAGTGGAAGAGTGTCCATGACCGTTTCTGGTGGGGATGAGGGTAGACCATGGCGGCAGGAGGCCCACTGAGGCAGGTGAGAGCAGGAACTAAGCTGTGGTCTAAAGGGAGGGACCAAGTCTGGCAGGAAAAAGCTGCACCAGAGGTTGCAATAGAGAGAGTGGAGGGACTCAGAGGCTGATGGACTGGGAGAGGGACAGAGAGGAGTTGGGGGCTGAAGGAACCTTCTTTTTTAGTGAGGGCAAAAGTTGATCTTTGAGGTAGCCTGGGGAGTGCTCCCTGGGGTAACTACCCACCCGCTTCTGGGGCCTCCATCTGGGCCTGGGACCAGGCTCCGGGTCCTCCCAGACCCTCTTTCCATTCCCCTGTTTCACTCAGCTACAAAGCACAGAAAGAGTCCCAAGGCAGCAAGGTGGGACCTGTACTCCAGAGGACTCTCGGGGTGGGTGCCACTCCTTCGAGGTGACAGGGGACGCGCAGTGGGCTTCCCTTGGCTGGCCTCCAGCCTTTCTCTGCCGTCGCCTCGGGGTGTCTCTGCCTCCCTGCGAGCGGGGAAGCAAGGAGGGGAGCGGGCGGCGGCCGCGCCAAGAAGCGCCGGGTCACGGCAGGCTGAGGCGCCCGCCGTCCCCGCCCTCCCCCTCGCTCGCCTTCGCCTCCTCCTCCCGCCTCCCTCGCCGGCTCGCTAGCTCGCTCCTTCGCTCTCCCCGCCTTCCCTCCGCGCTCCCCGCCCTCTCCTGCGCCTCGCCTCCTCCGCCCCGCGCCCTGCGGTGCTGCAGCTGCGGGCGGCTCCAGCTGCCCCCAGATGTGGGCTGGGCGGCGCGCGGGGAACTTTCGCGCCGGCTGCGAGTGCGGGGCACCGGCTGCGGTCGGGCTGCCATGGATCCGCCGGCGGGAGCCGCTCGCCGCCTGCTCTGCCCCGCTCTGCTGCTGCTGCTGCTGCTGCCGCCGCCGCCGCCACTCCTGCTGCTGCCGCCGCCACCCGCGAGCGCCCGGCTCGCCGCCGCTACCGAGCCCCCAGGTAAGTACCAGCCGCACCCCCAAGCCCCACGCCCCTCTGGCCACCCGATCCCGCCCCGTGCGCCCCGCCGCCCCCTCCTCAAGCATCGTCTGAGGCGACTTGGGCAAACTCCGCGCGCCGCGCCCGGGGCCAAGTTGGCCAACTTCGGGGCCCGGGCGGTCACGCAGGGGGCGCACCCCGGGTGCCTTGGGATGCAGGGAGCCTTGGAGCGCTCGCCGCTCCCGGGATGCAGAGTGTGGAGCTGGGGGGCCGGGAAAACCCCGCGGCAGAGCGCGCAGAACCAGCACCAGCGGGTCCGGGGGAACCAGGGCGAGGCGGCGCCCGGGGACGCTCGGGAGGAGCCGGTGCGGAGCGCGCCGCCTGCGGGCCCTGAGCATTGCTTGGGGAGCCCCGGAGGGGTTCCCCGGAGATCGGTGGGACCCTGCTCCACCCTTCCTGGGGCTTAGGCTCGCGGAGAGAGGGAGCTGGCAGTGGGCTGACCGGGAGCTGGACCGAGGACAGGCCGCCCGTGCGAGGGCGAGCCGAGTCTTGGTTGCTCCAGAGGCCAACAGTGAGGACACTTGGGCAGCGAGGACCGCTGAAGGGTCGAGGTTCATGAGCTGGGGATCAACGTGGAATCATTCCCGAGGAGCCCCGTGTCCTACCAAGGACGGTATAATTAAGGAGCGAGGGCACTCTGATGGGGTCGCCCTTTAGGGCAACTGCGAGGTGCCCGTGGAGCCTCAACTGGGAACCCGACTGGGGCAGCCTTTTAGCTGGCATGGTCTTCTTAGGAGGACGGCCCGGAGGCGACGTGGTTCCGGAGTGGTGGTCCTGTCAACGCCCCTTCCTGGAGGCTTCCTGGTGGAATGTCCCTTCTCTTCAACTGAGGCAAGGGCTGGGGGTGCCGGGCTCCGCGGTCAGGCTCTGAGGCTCCGAGGTCTCCGCCAGTCTAACGCCCCTTTCCGTTGCAGGCGGGCCCCCGGGGCACGGAGCCGAGCGCATCCTGGCGGTGCCGGTGCGCACTGACGCCCAGGGCCGCTTGGTGTCCCACGTGGTGTCTTCGGAGACCGCCCGGGCGGGGGTACGAGCCCGCAGAGCCGCCCCGGTCCAGACCTCAGGCTTGCCCGGAGGCGACGTGCAGGACCCTAGAGGCCGCCTCTTCTACAACCTCACGGTCTTCGGCCGAGACCTGCACCTGCGGCTGCGGCCCAACGCTCGCCTCGTGGCTCCGGGGGCCACCGTGGAGTGGCAGGGTGAGACCGGTGACACCCGGGTGGAGCCCCTGCTTGGGACCTGTCTCTACGTTGGAGACGTGGCTGGCTTAGCTAAAGCCTCCTCGGTGGCGCTCAGTAACTGTGATGGACTGGTGAGTACTCTCTACTAGGGCTCCTTTCTGTTCTGGCCCTTGCCTGGGCTTTGGAAACCCATTACTAGGAAGTCCCCTGAGAGGGCGACATAGCACGAGCCGAGGACCATCTTCTCCTCCCCAGTGCTCAGGAAGGCAGGCTCTCGCCTTGCTGCAGGGGTTGGCGGGAAGGCAAGATTTTTTTGATTGGTCAGAAAAGGGAGGACGATTTATAGGAACCCCACCTCCAGCCCTAATGCCTGTCTACTCCTGTCTGCTTCTTACATATAAGCATAAGTTGCCGTGTGTGTCTCTCAGCGTGTGTGTGTGTGTGTGTGTGTGTGTGTGTGTGTGTGTGTGTGTGTGTGTGTGTATGTGTGCGCGCACCCGCGCGAGTTTGCGCGTGTGTTTTGGAATGTACGCATGCTTCTTTCTGGCTACCTTTGTACATATCTGTGTGAACGTGTGAATATACGTTGTCGCTCAAGCCTGGAGGTATCTGTGGCTTTCACAAATGTGTCTCCGAGTGACTTTTGAGCACGTGTGTTGCGGAGCTTGTGATGGGCATGGATGCTGGCCGTTTCCTTGCATCTGTGTGTGCATATGACAGCCTGGGGAGCAGGTGGTGATGCGGAAATGCCCAGCTAGCCCTCTCTCCCTTGGCTGACCAGGAAATCAGTGATTTTGATGCCCGTGGCTTCCTGTTGAAGTATTGCTGGCTATTTGAAAAGTCAGCTTTCTCCCTCCAGTTTGAGCCACGGGGAGCGTTTGGTAATGAAGGTCCTAGTGCCCGCGGGCTGTTTGACTTTGGGGGGGGCAGTGCCTGATGGACAGGTAATGGTCCCTTTTGGAACTATCTAGGGCAACCAGTGTGACTAGAGTGCTGGGAAGCTCACCTGCCACTGGGTGTCCCCGAGGACCAGGGTTGCCACACAGGGATTCTTGGAGAAAGCTTGGATCAATGCTCAGGGCAGAGGCTGACATTGATGGTGCTGTCCTGCCACCCAGGGGCCTGGCACAGCAGAACCTATGGCAGTTTTCTGTTTTGGATTGAATGTGCAGTGGTCAGGCTGGCTGTGCTGGCCGGCCAGACATCTGAAGCCGCCCACCATGGTTTCTGTTCTAATTGCTGCCCAGGGTACTCCGGCTCTGGGCAAGTGGCCATGCTTCCAGTCCTGCCAGCCCTGAGCAACGCCTGTCCTCAGGGAGCCCAGGTTGGCCCTGCCATCTGCAGAGCCGGCAATTACACCCCAGCTCTACAACCACTGGAGTTCTTTTTATGGACACACAGGAAACATCACTTGTTGCTTCAGAAAAATCACTGCCTTTGGTCGGATTTACTTAGAGCCCGAGCACATTGCAAATGACTCTTAAGTGTCCTTGGAGAACTTGGGTTAATTTAGGGCAATTTTTCCTATTCTCTGTTGCCTGATTAGTCCCAGCCCCACAGGCAAATCACCTTTAAGGATGCCAGTGAGTTTCCTAAACATGAAAGGAGATCATTGCTGGGGACTTGGAACAAGGTGGTAGAGTTGGCAGGGATTGCCCCCCCCCCCCCGCCGCCCCCCGCCCACCCCGCGCTAATTAATTCCCACTAGAGCACCGGGAGGTGACACTGCATCATTCATTCATCCTCCCCATTCATTTGTTCAGGCAACACCTTTGGCCTTGTTTATCCTTTATACGAGTTAGAGATGGGGCAGGTCCTATGCCAGTGTAGGTGGAAGGGCACCTAGGTGCTATTTGATGGGGTCACAGACAGCTGGAGAACGTGCCGTTTGGCAAGTAGGTGGAGAGAGAAGTCATCCTGAAGATTCCAGGGGTGAACTGACCTGGGAAGGACATGCTGAGATGTCACAGGAATGGGACACCCACAGGCAGAGGTCAGCGCTGAAGCCTGAGTGGCTTCCAGTCAGTGAGGAACAACCCTGCCGAGGTGGGCCAGCATCGTTGGCTTTCCTTCTCTTTCTTCTCCTCTGTTTTATTTTTTGGTCTTCCTTCCTTCCTTTCCCATCTTCTCTTTTCTCATCCACTTTCCCTTCTTTTTCTGTACTTGCCTGTACTGGATTTGCTACCAAATAATTCCCTATCCCTTTAAGGTCCTCTGGGCTTCCATGATGGGCTGATTCACTGAGGACCTTGACCTTTCCGTCTGGTGTCTCCAGGTGTCACAGGGACTCTGGAGGGGAGGCGGCTTTATGCATATGGCTTACATATGACAAATCGAGGCTTTGAGAGGTGGAGTAACATGTCCTAGCCACACAGCCAGTGATGGTGAATGTCTAGCCTAGGAACTGTCTGGCCTCCTTTGCCACAGTGCCCCTAATTCAGGGGGTGGGAGCACGGCACTGCTGAGATGTAATAAAAGGGACAACTTGTACCCTGGCAAGCTTCAGTGGGCTGTAAGTGGATACCTGTATTTAATCCATCCAACAACCCGCTCCCTTCTCCACGAGGCCATACTCTTCCTTGATAACTGCCCTGATACACAAAGCAGGTGAGTCAGGCTGCCCTGGGAAGGCAGCTCCCCAGAAGTCTTCCTAAATACAGATTCAGCTTCAACACACCCAGAGTGGCACCAAAGAATCTGCATTTCTAGTAAGCAGCTCCCTGGCCCATGTTCTTTGCCTTTGGACCATCTGAGAAACAAGGGTCTGGAGTCCCATTTCTCCAAGAATGTTCTGTAGGGCGGTACCCTTGAGTTGCTCTGAACCAGTGGGGCTTAGGGGACAAGTCACAATGGGGAGGCAGCAGAGTCACCCTGGTGGTGGTGGGGGGGGGGGGAGAGAGAAGTTCTATAGTAAAGGAGTCTCACCAGTTCTGTTTCATCCAACATACTAGATGATGCACCCAGAACCCCTTTTCTTTGGAGAGTAAACAGTTAGCTCCCAAGCATGTGTGTGCAGAAACTGTGGTGTAGACAGACAGAAAGTGCTGGTGACAGCCGTCAAGCGGGCCCTGTGGCTGCTGTCCTGAAATACATGTTTGTGAATCTCCTTGCCTGTTGCTAAAGACACATGGGTATACTTTCCCGCTGAAAGGTGGAAGGCAGCAGTCACTGATGACTGTGGACATTGCTCTCCTAATCTGGTTAGCACCGTGGGACTCTAATTGAATCCACCCACTGCATCTATCAGTCCGGTCTCTTTCAGTTCCAAGTGACAGAGAATCCAAGTTAGTTTACCAGAAAGGGGAACTTATTAGCTCACATGGTGACAGATCTTCGGGCATGGCTCATTAGGACCTCTGCTGTCTTGTCCCTTTACTTCCTGGGGGCTGGCTCTGTGCTCAATTGGAGTCCCTCTGTTGTGAATCAAGGGTTCCCGGCAGCGCTGGGCTGTTTCCTTTTGTGAATGAACTCTGGCTAGTCTCAGGTAGGACGATCTTAATGGAGGTTTGCAGATTCCCACAGCACTGAGAGCAAGTAGCTCCATTCCCTGAAGCCACTTGAGATGGATGGCTCTGGCCAAAAATGAGGACCCTGGGCCAGCCAGGAGGCAGATTCTACTGGAGTTTGGTAAAGGCACACGATGTAGACTTGTGTCATAAGATAGGCCACACACTTATCCACAGATACATGATAGGTCCTTTGCTGGTCACTGGTTAGAAGCAGCTCATCATTATTTAACCGGGGGGTGGAGGGAGGTTGGTGATGGTAAAATTGGTCTTTTCACAGTGAATGAGGAAAAAATAACCTCCTGGGGAACATATATCATGTTGCTATGGAAGAATTTTCTAGTGTTTCTTGGGTTACACAGTAGGCAAACTAATTGATACCAGTTTTACACACTCAATAGAAAAGAAGCCTGCAGATATGAAAGGTAATGGTGGTGAATGACAGTTTGCTGTCCTACTATGCGCAAGGCTGCCGGCTAAGCAGTATGTCCCATTATCTCTTGTCTACAAATGAACAAACCAAGCCTCCGAAAGCTGAGACAGAGAGACAGACAGAGAGACAGAGAGAGACAGAGACAGAGAGACAGAGACAGAGAGACTGAGAGAGACAGAGACAGAGAGACAGAGACAGAGAGACTGAGAGACTGCTGGTTACAATCTTAAAAGCCAAAAACATTTCTAATCTTTCCCGTTTTGTTTCCCAGAGATCCCGAGTTAGCAGCATTGACCATTGTCTGTGTGTGAGGGCGAGAGCTGAGTGATGAGTTGACTGTCTGGTGCTCTGCTCTGAGCTGGAGCACCTCATGGGTGGGTGTCTTGACTCCTCACTGGAGAGTGGTCACAGTGGGGACTCCAGGAGGGTGGAGGTGACTCTTCCTTAAACTCCTTTCCATTCAGGAAGCCCTGGGAGACTTCTGTAGCCTGACATAGGCAGGGCCACTCATAACATCCTGCTGGCTGGGCTAGCCTGGTCTAATTCTGGGCCTTGAAGAAGGAAGTGTCCATCTTTTCCTAGGGCTCATTACAAGCTCCCTGGTCTGTCTGGCAGAGCCTCTGTAGTATAGCTAAGGTCTTGTGGCAACAAGGAAGTCTATGTTTTCTTTTTTCGGGGGGGGGGGTCGTTGACCATCTTTTCTTGGGGTTTCCTGTTGGGCTACCATCCTGGCCAGAGCTTTGAGATCCCTAAAAGCCACAAAGAAAAATGGTGTTTCCCCAAATGATGCTGCATGGGACCTGCTGTCTTCAAGGTCACATGCTGCACTCAGTCAGCTCAAGTGCTAGGCTGGAGAAGCTTCTAGCACTGTGGGCTGGAGACAGGGCTGCTCCTCATGGGGGAGGGGTCCTCTTACTTCCCACCCTGCCTTGGCACTGCCTGGATAGCAGTGAGTCCATAGCAGGGGACCAAAGAGGTACCCCAGTTTCTGGAATTCTCAGGTCAGTGTAGAGGCCTCTACTGTGAGTGATCTACCTAGCTACCTAGGGTGGCTTCTGCCTCTTCTCTTGTCTAAGACGTGTTGAGCTCAAATGATGGAAAAGCGGCTTACATTGGATGGAATGAACAAGAGATAGTATGAGTCTGGTTATTTGAAGGTTCTGAGGAGTGCTGGCTTCAGGCCTGGCTGGAT